GGATCTCCTTAGAGATGCAATTACTTCACCAACTCGACGCCACAACGCTATTACACCGGAGAAGAAAGTAATCACAACCCTGAGGTATTTGGCAACAGGGAAAATGCAACAATGCAGCAGTGATGACTTGGGTCTGTCCCAATCCTCCGTCAGCAGAGTCATCACCCAAACACTGACAGCTTTGTCACAACCTAATATTGTGACACAATTTGTTTCATTCCCGCTGGATGCCCGCACTTTACACACACATAAAAGGGCATTTATGGACATTGCAGGATTCCCTGGCGTTGTGGGTGTAATTGATGGAACACATGTGAGAATAATTGCGCCATCAGAGGACGAGGCTGTCTTTGTTAACAGGAAGAATTTCCACAGCATCAATGTGCAAATAGTGTTCAATGCGGCCTGGAAGATTTTGGACATTGTGGCTAAATGGCCAGGCTCCACACATGATGCGAGAATGCTCTCCGAGAGTGGCATCAGACAGCTTTTTGAGAGACGCTATGTGCCAGCTAATTGCCACTTGTTAGGGGACAGTGGCTACCCATGCAAACCATGGCTCCTTACACCTTACCTCCAGCCACGCCAAGGGCCCCAACTAAACTATAACAGGTAAGCCAAACAATACAAAAATCATGGAAATGAAATGCAAGCAATATGTTAGAGCATCCAAGTAGTGCAATATTTCCATAAAATAATTAAAGGTCTGTATTCTATTGTAGGGCCCACAAGACAACAAGAGCGGTGGTGGAGCGTGGCATAGGCCAGCTTAAGAGGCGCTTTCATGTTCTCCACGGAGAGGTGCGGCTGAGGCCTGAAAAAGTCAGCAAACTCATCATAGCCTGTGCAATATTACACAATATTTGCAAGGTTAGACAGATTGCAGAACCTCTGGAGGATGGCGATGAGGATGAGGATGGAGACAACGATGAGGATGGTGGTGAAGAAGATATTCACATTCCACAGGGGAACCTAGCCCAGAGTGGACTGCCTTACAGGGCAAACTTCACAAATTTACATTTCAGGCAAGCTGTAGCCCCATGTCATTTGAGAACTTGTGATGGTATTAAGAACTACCACAGTTTTACTGCACATCACCTGCAACTGTTAAATGCAAGACACAGAACACAATCTCTAAATGGTTTATTTTTTAGGTGTTCAATTTTAAGGCGGTAGTACTCCTCCTGAAGGGAAAGGACTTTTTTTTGTTGTTCAAACACATCAATTGTGAGTTGCAATCTTCTCTCCTGCAGGGATGCTGACGGAGCAGGTGCTGCGGATGGGAATGGTGTTTGATCCGCCGGGCTATCCTGAGTAGCAGCTGCAGATGGTTCAGGCGGCAAACTTGATGGGCCCGGTTCTTGTGATGGCTCCATGCTACAGAAATACATAGGCCTAGTTTAATTATTGTTTTGATTAAATTAATTTAATACAATGAGCATGGATAACACATGAAATGGCTTCTGCAATGAATAAACACTGTTGATATGAATAACCCTGTGTCCTACCTTTGCTGCATTTCAAGGGCCTGCATCATTGACGTGTCAATGCCTGTTGGCAGCCCGGTGACACTGACCTCAGAGTGTCCCAGGACTTGAAAGACAGTGTCGGCCACCTGGGACAGCCGCTTTGCAGGTGGTCCACCCCCTAGAAAGAAACAGTCAATGAACACAGTACTTAGGCATGTAAATTAACTTTGCCAGCAGGAGCAAATTGCCAGATTATGTGGTAGGCCATAGTATTTTGCTCACCTGTGAGTGAGGATTCCCGCTTGTGTGCTGCAATCTCATCTTTTGCCTTGGACTGCAGCACATACCACCTTTTCTCACAATCGTCGCCTGTCCGCACCACCAGTGGAAAAGAGGCATTGATTGTTTGGGATATTGTGTCCCAGGCGCGCCTCTTGCCTTGGCTAGTGACAGTTGGGCCAAATTTTCCTCGTAACATACCTTTATGTTCGTTCACCAACTGGGCCAGCAACAAACCTTGCTCCTCAGTCCAGTTCGGCTTGCGATTCCTTTTTTCTCTCCATTTTCTGTGTTTGTAGGATATTTGTTAACAAGCCTTCATAAATAGACCAGCCAGCAATCACAGACATTGTTAAAAGCTGAGCTGTGTTACCCTCGTTAAGTTCACACTGAGTTGTAACGTTGCAATTTCTACTTCATTAAGGACAGCCCCTTGAGATAGGCCATCTTGTTTTCAATGGGGTCCATATGGAAGTGAAAGTACAAAATATGCCAGCTAGGATATTAATATGAGCAAATGAGACACAAATCATTATTTGAACAGGGTGTAATGAGTTTAAGTTTTCACATATTTTAGATTCTAATGTTAGGCTATAACCCCTACAGCTTACTATTCATTTTCCAGATATTTTCTTGAATGTGAAATATTATTTACAATTATAGTCTGCATAAGATTAGAGTGTATAATTATGTTTATTGATTTGAGGGTACATCCTTTGCTCATTATCACCAAAAGTTCATTTTCATCAAACTTGTAGGATCAACCAATCACGGCTTTTGAAATGATGACTCATACCTAGCAACGGGGTCAACCACACCTCCTCACTAAGATAGGATTTTTCATCCATTCCTGGCTCAGAGTTTACTGAAAATGTTCTGGAATCACTTCTAAGCTAAAACTCCTGGCAAGGAATTTTTAGGTTAAGTTAGGAGCTCTCTGAGAGGATTCTCAGAATCTTTAAGGATACGGGCCCTGGTCTCTCACACACACTGATCGAGTAGGTTATCTATGTATCTTAACATTGATCCACCTTTCTGCCTTACAGATTGCCCTTGTCCATAGCGGAGTGCTCCCAGTTTCTTGGAGTATGTCCTTTGCCAGAATGCAAATTCAAAGATGTCAGAAGAAATGTAGAGAGCTGTTGTTAGGTTGACCTATTTCTGTGAATAAAGTCTCATAATAGTCTAATGATAGTAGGCTAATTCCCCTGAGAGGCTATGATGAGACTGGATGGCTTGTGGAATGAATGTAACACCTTTATCATTGTGGGGTGGGCCAATCGCTTTCATAGTTCCAGTAGAGAGAAAAATACTATTTTTTCGGTGCTGTCTACGCCTATGTGATTGTAATAATGTAGTCAAAAGATTTAGCCTATTTAGCTTCATTTTTGAAAATGTGGAATTGTTCTGAAGCAGCTTTTTGACATTATGTGTACATCCCAAATGGCACCCTTTTCCCAATGGGCCCTGGTCAAAAGTAATGCACTATATAGGGAATAGGGTGCTATTAGGGACATACAGAACATTCTTTCTTATTTTTTTCCCTCCAGGTGAGCTGCAGAACCAGGAAGTGGAGGATGTTTGTGTTCTGTACTCGAGGAGAGCTCCATAAGTACCGTGTCCCCAGCCTGCTGGAGATTTACGGGCTCAGGGTGCACCACCTGCCCTTTCCTGTTCCTTTTTTAGACAGTAGTTAACTTCCTCTCTTCCCTTTTTCTCTCCAGTTGTTACGGAGGCCTGGGTCGAGCCGAATTAAGCACGAATCGTTTTCTGTGACCACCATTTGCCTCATGCAGCGCGACATCTTCTTGATGAGGCTGTTGATTGTGGCCTGTGTGCTATGTTATTAGTATGGTTACTTAAGGCAGAAATGCGAATGGCTAGCAACCAAAAGGTTGTGTGTTCGAATCTCATTACGGACAACTTTAGCATTTTAGCTCATTATAAACTTTGTAACTTGTGGTCCTCTGTAGCTCAAGTGGTAGAGCATGGCGCCTGTAACGCCAGGGTAGTGGGTTCGATCCCCGGGACTACCCACACGTAAAAAAATGTATGCGCACATGACTAAGTCGCTTAGCTACTTTGCAACTACTTAGCATGGTAGCTAACCAATACTCTAAACCTTAACTTTATCCCTTAGCGTAGCTAATGTTAGCCACAACAAATTTGAATTCGTAACATATCATACGAAATGGATGGGCACCCACAAATTAATACATACAATACGAAACGTACCATATTATACTAAATTGAGAAATAAATATTTACATTTACTATGTTACGTCTTACCCTGAGTCCGGGTTGATTTAGCCTACATCATCAATATTCAGCCTGGTTGGCTGATATGTGCAGCAGAGAGCAGTAAAAAGTCATACTGATGTAGGATCTTAATTTGATCACCCTGTTGCAGGAGCACGTTCCCGCAATGCAGGAAACATTTTAACTTTTGGCGTATGAGGTTTAAAAAGACTTCTGAAGTTTGTAAATACCAATTTGAAATTTCAGACTTGATTTTCCCTTACGAAAAATGTATCAACCCCTACAAAAATGTCCATTAATTATATTCCACATTTCCTGTTGCGGCAAACTGGCACAAATTTAAGATCCTACATCTGTAAAAAGTATAAATCAGTGTGTTGCAGAAATAAATAGGCCAATGCAAAAAAAATTAACACATTTCGCTACTGAGGCATTTGGTATGCTAGGAGTTTCGCAATATGAAAAATAAAAAAGGGGTGGGGGTACCCTTTTATAAAATGGCGTCGCAGTTTTTTTTTTGCTGTATATATATATATTCTGCTGTTCTATTGCGCGTCAGATGGGAAAAGTGTTGCAGTTTCACCATTAAGGATTCCAAAGGGGTATACTACAAAGCAGGATCAATGAATTAGCCAGCTAACTTTGATAAACCAGAAATAACTGATTTCTGGTTCATTAAGCTAAACTTCAATGTGTTTATAAGTTGTTAGACCATGCCTATTTCAAGCTCATTAAAAAATATATATAAACTAAAGTTATTTCAGTTAGCTGGCTAACTCCTTGATCCTTTGTAGTACGAAAATGTATGCGCTCACAACTGTAAGTTGCTCTGGATAAGAGCGTCTGCTAAATGACTGAAATGTATTAATAAAGTGGTGTTTCTATCCAGGAGGACTTGTGTTCTGGGGGGCGTGAGCTTCAACAGCTCTATATAAAAACACAACATTACTATGTTAGCCCTAGCTGCGTCATTGGAAAATGAAACCAATCTGGTAGAGAGTATAGTGGGGTAGGTTTATTTGGATTCACAACTCAAGTTTTTCATTCACTAGTTGTGACTGGGTGAAAATGAGCTACTCTACTATGAACACATTGACATTAAAGCCAAACACACGTATAACAAACATGCCAACCACCCTGATGATTTTACAGGGTGGGAAAACTGGCAAATACAGAAAACACTTGGGGACAACAACATTCTTGATATTTTGGTCGTCCCACAATCTTGCATTTGGAAATATAAAACAAAAAAAGGACAATCTGATAAAATCCTGATAAATCTGCAAGTAGTCGGAGAAAATAAAAACATCACTGCTCCAGCAACATCCATTTTAGGTCGTAATGTAAACTGGAGTGAAACATCTGGGGAGATGATTAACATTCTCTATCTAGAATAAATAAATAAAATCATGCTGGAGGGGCACGTGTACAATTTAAACCAAATATTTTCGTTAAAAAAAAAACAATGCAATAAAGATGGGGGGGCTAACGGGACATTATGGAATTGTTGGTTGTTTTTCTTTGAGCTCATAACAGGTTCAATGATAACAGATATTCCTCGTAAGCAACGTTTCATGATCACATTACGGAAATCTCTTCTTAGGATTTCTGTAGCTTCACACAAATAGCCTATTAGCATCTACTGAAAAGGAAAAAACACCCCTTAAAGCGAGTATGTATGACTAAAGGGCTATAAAAGTCTAACGAAAGTTCAGAAAGTATCAAATAGTTTACGACAACCCTACTGATTGTCCCCGTCTGTGCAACACATTTTTCCATCAGGTGATCAAGATATTACTAATCATGTATTCAACCCTTTAAACCCATTTTAGGTAAGTTCAAGTTTTCAATGTGTCTGGGCAAGAAAATGATTTATCTATGTAATTACGATAACCCCCATTGCATACCTTAAAATACATTTTAAAAGCCTGGCATCTAATTCACATCCAAAATGTCCTAATAGTAAATTAAGTGTTAGTTCATAATAAGCAGACAGCTCTGAATCTGTTCTAATTTGTAAACAGTCAAAAGTAGGGAGGGGCAAAAAAAAAAGAAGAGAAAAAGTCAAACATTATTTAAATTCAAATGTTTAAAAGCTTCAAATAATGACAAGATAATAGAAATGAATAAGAGTCCCAAGTCTGTCGTTCTTCCTCTCAAACATTTAGTGTTGGGACTGTAGAACGATGAACGAGAGGACAGACGATATTCATTAAAGAAAAAGAAAAAAAAAAAAGGGAGAAATGTTTCAGTATAGTAATGGCGCTCTGCACTGCGTTGGGGTCGAGTCAATCCTGCCTCTTGAAACTGCAGCCATCTTGAAAATCACTGAGTGGTGAATGGTTGGTCTTCGCTGCAGGTCCCACTTCAGCTTCTCCTCCGGCCACTAAAACCAGTGTTTTATCTCCTACATGCAGTCCTTTCCTCTCTTCTTCTCTGACCTGTCTAAGAGCTCACCAACACGTAGATCATCCTGTAAATAAAAGAACACTTTAGGAGGAAACACGTTATTGAAACGGTGTAACATTCATTCACATTCACATGAGCCCAAAAACAAAACTCAGCCTTTAAGGCAGATCAGTTATTACTACATACCCAGAGATAATAACATACCCATAGAGATAGTAGAAGGAGAGGAGGTAGAGATAATACCATACCCATAGAGATAGTAGAAGGAGAGGAGGTAGAGATAATACCATACCCATAGAGATAGTAGAAGAAGGAGAGGAGGTAGAAGGCCAGTTTGCACCAGCCCTCCTTTTGACAGTAGGCCAGGACGTCAGCGTTCATGATTGTAGTCGGATCATAGAGTCCTGGACCACTCATCACCGGCCTGCTCATATACCTGCAGAGACACATGACATGGAAGTCAGCACGTGTGTTTCAACAAATGATTAACCAGGAAACGTGTTGATACATAGCAGCAGAACTATTTAAAAAGGTCCACAGGGTTTGAATCTGTTAAAAGTGAAGAGTATGTGCCTGCAAAGAAACAAACATTTACTTGTAAACCTACAAAAACATTGAAACATTTATGCTTATTTATAAGAAACAGGACACATTTGCTCACAAACCTGATTGAAAACATGATACCTTTAGCTGTAGTCAGCATGGTTAAGTCAATTACATTTTTTTTTTTTTTTAATCAGTCATCCAGGCTGAGATTCATTATATTGTTTTCAACAAATCATGAAAATTGCCATTGGAAGGTCAACGTTGCAGCAGAAATATATAAGGGTTAGAATGTGAACAGAGAATGCATGTGTGAGTGTGTAAGCGTTTGTTTACTGTACCGTTTTCACTGGGGGAAACAAAATGGCATGAGTTTATAGTTTAAAGTGACAAATAAAACCCCTTGAACGTACCTCCAGACGTGGTAGGCCAGCAGTGGCATGTTGAGGCCCAGGGTGAGCCACTCCGCAGCACACAGGAACATCACGCAGAAGAACACATGGATGAGATACTCCGGGAGCACCAGCTGGGAGGAGCATGTAAAACAGACACATCAGCAGCCTTATACCGAGGGAGTCATTTCAACAAGATGTCACCTGACGGCTGCCTCAGACCTCACAAGAAAAAAATACACTGAAATGTACTAAACTAAAATTGACTCAACGGAAATGTCCCAGGGTATAATGAAATGTACTGACTGCTATGCAGGAAACAGATACAGTAGAATACAATATAAAATTAGAGACTTCTCAAAATGTATGCAAGACTTGCATGTTGTGTTGGTCATAGAATGATCGTTGCCTTTGTACAACAAAATGTTAAAGTACAGAGGATACCATGAAAATGAATGAAATAGACATTGGGACTAACAGAACAATTTAGACCTAAACTGTTAAGACATTCCTTTGACATGCGACAGTTCAAGACGGCAGCTTCTATAACCACTACTAGACGGCAGCTTCTATAACCACTACTAGACGGCAGCTTCTATAACCACTACTAGACGGCAGCTTCTATAACCACTACTAGACGGCAGCTTCTATAACCACTACTAGACGGCAGCTTCTATAACACTACTAGACGGCAGCTTCTATAACCACTACTAGACGGCAGCTTCTATAACCACTACTAGACGGCAGCTTCTATAACCACTACTAGACGGCAGCTTCTATAACCACTACTAGACGGCAGCTTCTATAACCACTACTAGACGGCAGCTTCTATAACCACTACTAGACGGCAGCTTCTATAACCACTACTAGACGGCAGCTTCTATAACCACTACTAGACGGCAGCTTCTATAACCACTACTAGACGGCAGCTTCTATAACCACTACTAGACGGCAGCTTCTATAACCACTACTAGACGGCAGCTTCTATAACACTACTAGACGGCAGCTTCTATAACCACTACTAGACGGCAGCTTCTATAACACTACTAGACGGCAGCTTCTATAACCACTACTAGACGGCAGCTTCTATAACCACTACTAGACGGCAGCTTCTATAACCACTACTAGACGGCAGCTTCTATAACCACTACTAGACGGCAGCTTCTATAACCACTACTAGACGGCAGCTTCTATAACACTACTAGACGGCAGCTTCTATAACACTACTAGACGGCAGCTTCTATAACCACTACTAGACGGCAGCTTCTATAACATTAGCAGCAGCCAGGGCAGCAGACTATTACAGGGCTGTAGCTATGCCGTGAATGCGTCCCAAATGGCACCCTATTCCCTATATAGTGCACTACTTTTGACCAGAGCCTGGCCAAAAGTAGTGCACTATATAGGGAATAGGGTGCCATTTGGGATACATGCCACGACTCACTCCATCGTCATGCACCGTCAAGAGACATACGATGGGCAACACATCATATCATAGGTTTGACCAGAGAAATGACACCGGGAGGGCTCGGGGGAAATCACACAGCCACAACTAGTCTCCGTCACCTGCTAAATGTTGTAAATGTATTCACTATATAGTGCACTACTTTACATCAGAGCCCTACGGGTCCTGGTCAAAAGTAGTGCACTATATAGTAAACAGGGTGCCATTTGGGACTGATCAGCCCTAGTAAACAGTGTGCAATGGATCATCCTATTCCAACGTCAGCACGTGTTGCAACACAGTGGTACCGTTCCGTCCCACTTCCTGGTTACCACAGACCGGGTTAGAGGTCAAGGGTCAAACGCACTGAGGCAGGGGGGAGACCATGCGGTGTGTGAAGAGCAGTCTGTGTCTGCATCCCAAATGTCACCTTATAAAAGTGCACTACTTTTGACCAGGGGCCCATAGGGCTCTGATGTAAAGTAGTGCACTACGTAGGGAACAGGGTGCCATTTGGGACGGGCCCTCTGATTCCGTCTGTCCCGTAGTAGGGCAGGACAGGGCTACTGTGACGTCATCCGGTGTAGGCTTGTGTTGAGGTGGGGGGGTGGGGCCCAGATGGGATCACTACATGGAAGACATGCATTCAATCAAGAGGGGTGATGACCCACCACAGCCCACAGATGGAGAGGATGGGGGGAGGTAGGTGGAGGACGTGGTGGGTTTCAGCACTGCTACACTGAAACATGTGAAAGCCAGATGTCACGTTACACTAGACTAGAGCACGATGCATGTCTGCTTCCCAAATGGAGCCCTATTCCCCTATGAGCCCTGGTCAAAAGTAGTGCACCAGTGTTTCCGCTGAAGTCATTTAGCCGTGGCGCTGTGCGAAGGCAAAATCATTGCAGCCGCGCCCCCCCCCCCCCCCCCCCCCAAAAAAAAAAAACATTTACTTTCTCTGCAAACAAAACAAGTAATGAATAGAAAAATCTGAAAACCCCCATAGTAGAATAGCTGATCCATTTACCTCGTCGGCTTGGTTGTGCGTTCTATGCGAGATAAATATTCCTTTCGAGGCGCATTCAAGTTACGAGTACCATAGGGAGGGACTTCCTTAGAATCAAATATAGGCTGCAAAGATAGACTACGTTTATTTTGTAGGCTACTCAAACCTTGGCCAGCCGCACACGTTTACACTTTACATGGCCTGTGAATGTCTAATGAACGAAAGCCTGCATGGAATCGAATAGGCTTATTAACAGTTATTGAAAACAAAATCGGCCTACATGCTTGCAGGCTGTGTAACCCCATCAACCGGGGTGTTGTTTCCACGGTGACGTTGCAGCCTATTCCCTTATTCGAAACACTATAGTGCACTATATAGGGAATAGGGTGCCATTCTCTGGTCTAAAGTAGTGCTCTATATAGGGAATAGGGTGCCAGCTGGGATGCACCCAAATATGATGTCCATAGCAGAGAACTGAACATTGACCCAAACCATTTAGGGCAAATTTGGCAAACCAAGGTTAAACCGTCAATTTAAAAAAACTGCAAGTGTGCTACGCCCATCTTGAACAGAAATAAAAAGTAGGATTGTGTCTCAAAATGGCACCCTACTCCCTATGTAGTGCCCTACTTTTAACCAGGGCCCATAGGTCTCTGGTCTAAATCGCCCTGGACAAAGGTAGTGTAATACATAGTGCACAGGGTGCCATTTGGGAGGTGCACTATGCCTAGATTAATCGATGCTTTTATGTAAGGTAACTCCTCCTAATGTCTTCACTATCCAATCAGTGATCTCTAAAAAAAAAAAATGCTGAGCTTGGAGGGTGTTAAGATTCTCTGTTCCGAACCCCAGGTGTTAATATAAAAAGGTTGAGCCAAAGTCAAATCTACAGTCGTGTTTGCAAACGACTCTTAAAAAAACACTAGTCTAGAAAGCAATTTGAGAGAAAATACTCAATGTTTTACAGCATTACATTATTTTGTTACCTTAAAATTGATTCTTACAGCGGCTGCCTTTTAAGCCGTAGAAAAGGCAGTAGGGTTGTGGTACAACACTACAGTTGAATAGTCCAGGCGACGGGTAACACAAAAACACGGATTAACCAGTCCTGAGACCCACAGTTAAATTTGTCATTTAATCCCATAAACTCCTGGTTTAAAAAGAGCCTCCCGTCTGTCCTCACAAAATCCCACGATTAACTGTCAGAGACTAGAACACTCTCTTTAAGTATTGTATTATAGGAAGCCTAGTGTATTATTCTCACAACTCAAATCTAGGCCCTACTTCAAAAATGTTTACTTAATAAAATCTCTCCTTGGGAAAAGACGGTATTATATAATAGTCTTTATAGTAAACCCTAGGTATAGCGGGTAACTATTAGTGCATAAATAATCGTTAAATGTTTACATTAGGGATATTACAAGTGTACGCTCATCACAACACTATATACAAACAAAAGGGTAGGTTGTCATGCATGTTCTGAGCATTTGCAAGTCTTTTCAGTTAACATCTGCACGTGTTGATACCTACGTCCGTGTGTCTCTTCACATCCCAAATGTTTTTGATGAACCAGCTTCCTGTGTAATATAAATAACTAGCTATACTGCCTACTGACCAAGACTGCCCCCGCTTAGCCTCCATCCCAAATAGCACCCTATTCCCTATATATAGTGCACTACTTTTGACCAGAGCTCTATGGGACGCTCCCTTAATGTTTGGAATAAGAGGGTACCCAAACACGTTTCAGCCCAGCTTGAACCAAAAGAGGTTCCTCTTAAAAAATGTTTTATTTTCACCCCTTTCATTACACTTTGGATGTTTCAAAAGAGAGTATGAAATGAAAAACTGAAAGCAAATGAAGTCGAGAGCCCTCTACATACACGGAAACATTAGCAGTCTGGTTACAACTGGTTGAAACTAAGTCTACCCTATAAGCTACTGTACTCTACAAAATGTTAAAGGGTCTATCTCTCATGGGGGGAAATGGGCGATACACAAGGAACACACAGGAAGCAATGCAACGTAGTGACATTGAGACGTTGTGCACATGACCGTTTTTCCATTTCAGGGCATGTAGTCGTTGGGTTACGTAAGAAAGATCATGAAAAGAGAAATGTAATCTGACATTTTAACTTAACTTCCTCATTGGACTCAACTCTTGAGAATGTTAGTCAATGTTAGACTGAGTCGAGGTCTAAAGGTCTTGGACGAGACATCCTATAAACTGCATAGAGCCTGGTCGGTAATGCCCAGTCATTTCTATACCAATAAGCACAGAAAGGTGAGGCTTGAATCAATAACCCTGCTGTAAATCAGTCCAATGACGGCACCTCTTGACATTCGTTGACTGAAAAGACCTTTGCAAACACTCCCCCCGTGCAGAATGACAGACTGGAGACCGAAACGGCCATTTTATATCGAAGATTGGTACAAACCTTCAATGCAATTTTGACTCTTTTAATCTTTTTGACCTTTTCAACTGTCTTTATGCCGTTACAAATGGTAGATAAAAAAAAGCAGATTAGAAAAAAAATTAAGTGTTAGATTGACAACTGACAAGATCACTATAGATTAATAACAGTCAGGTTATAATTCATCATAACAGTGCAGCAGAGAAATCCATCCTTAGTGTGACTACCAGGCCGTATCCTCATCCATCCTGACTACTAGGCCGTATCCTCATCCATCCTGACTACCAGGCCGTATCCTCATCCATCCTGACTACTAGGCCGTATCCTCATCCATCCTGACTACTAGGATGTATCCTCATCCATCCTGACTACTAGGATGTATCCTCATCCATCCTGACTACTAGGATGTATCCTCATCCATCCTGACTACTAGGCCGTATCCTCATCCATCCTGACTACTA